CCAGTGGAAATTCCTAAACAGAGAGAAGACACTGGGTGCCTGAGAGTGACAGCTGGCCCCCCAAGTGGACCCTTTTACAGTTCTGTCCATTTTTTTTTAAAGATTTATTTATTTGTGCTTACAGAACTGGGGTACAGGCCAGAGGTTCAGGGGCGGCGAGAGGCTTCACCAGAGACAGAGTGGGGAGCAGAACAGGCAGATCTACAAAGTACACTGCTGAGGGGAGCAGCGGGCGGGTCAGGAGAGGTCTGCCACACCATGTGGTCACCTCCGGGGCAGGCAGGATCGAACTCATGCGGAAGTGGCTTTAGCTTCTTAGTGCTGTGCTTTAACCGGCTGCACCACCAGGGAGGGCCAGTTCTGTCTATTTTTATCTTCATTTTACTCTTTCACCAATTGCATATTTCTTTTTTTTTTTTTTAAGAGATGTCTTATTATGTATGCATATGATGAGAGGATTCACCAAAGACAGAATGGGAAGCAGAACTGGTGGATTGATGCAGTACACTGCTGAGGGAGCAGCAGGCAGGTCAGGAGAGGTCTGCCGCGCCATGTGGTCACCTCTAGGGCTGGGGATGGAATTCATACTTAAAGGGCTGTGGTTAGCTTGTAGTGCTGTGCTTTAACCGGCTGTGTCACCAGGGAGAGGCCGCATTATTCCTTTTGACATAGTAACTCTCTTTTAGAAAGTTATCCTTTAGTTATACTTAAAAAAAGACAAAGAATTTTATTAAATATTATTTTGATCACACAGAGCCCTGGAAAGAACCAATGAGTTCATCAATAAAGTTAAATACATTGATGTATATGCTCACTAGAAATAACAAAGTATTGTTAGATAAAAATAATAACAATAAATGTACTTCATCCATTTATTAAATATTTATTAAGCATATTCCACATACTATTCTAGAACAAAGATACATGCATGAAAACAGTGGGTCCTTGCCTTCATTGACTTCATGTTTTAGCTATTCTGGAAATACAAACTTATTACCTAAAGTACCTCCACTCTAACACAAATATCTAGAACTATTAGTTTAAAGTATAATAAATCTGGTCTTAAATGCATATTTTAAAGGTTGACACAGCCAATGTCATTCTGATTTTAGAATGTTTGTGTTTTCTCTTTCTAGATGGTCATAGGATTCTAACTTTGTTATGGATGTTCTAAAATTTCACAATAATTTGCTTTGACATCATTCTATTTAAAACAAATTTTCCAGATACTAGGTGGGCTCCCTTAGTCTGGGATGTCAGGTTTTTTTAGTTCTTGAAAATCATCCTTGATTATTTATGCTCACCCACTTCTTTTGTTGATATCCTCTCTCTCTGGAACTCCTATTAATTACTTTTTACATTCTAAATTCTTAAGAGTGTATTTTTATTCTTGAATGTTCTTTTTCTCCAACAACCTGTTCTCTTATCATGGATGCAAAATATTCTCTTATCCTCAAGGATTCAATAACATTTTTACAAGTTCTTTTCAACTCCCTGACTTTTATTAATTTAGTATGTGTGCGTGTGTGTATAACTGAGGTGCAGACCAGAGGTTCAGGGGGTTGAGAGGATTCCCCAGAGTGGGTAGCAGAACAGGTGGATCTACTGAAATACACTGCTAAGTGGAACAGCAGGTAACAGGAGAGGTCTGTTGACCATGTGGGTCAGCTTCCTGGCAGCAGTCGGCTCAGGCTGTACCAGTGATAGTATTGAGATTTAACTAGTGTAGGCCACCAGGGCGGCCCTCCTTCTTATTTTTCAATCTCTCTTTTATAGACTTTTCAAATATCTGTGCATACTTGTTTTACTCATATTTAGAATGGGTACCTAAAAAGATAATTGTAAATTCTTTATACATGGATGAGGTGACCCAAATTTACCATTTTGTTGGGATCTGTTATGGACTAAATTGTGCCCCCCCCCCCAACTTACTAAGTTGAACTTCTAACCTCCAATGTAGCTATATTTGGTGACAGGCCCTTAAGTTAAATGAGGTCATAATGGCTCCGATCCATTTAGTACTGGATAAGAAAGGGAAGAGACACCAGAGGACTCACTACACATGCAGAGGGGCAGGGTCATGTGAGGGAACAGTAAGATGACAGCTGTCTGCAAACCAAGGGAACAGACTCCCCCAGGGACCAGCCTTGCCAATTCCTTGATCTTGAACTTCAAATGTTCAGAATTATGAGAAAATACATTTCTGGATAAAGTCATCTAGTCTGTGGTATTATGTTATGGACACCTAAGCAATCTAGAGCATTCCACTCCACTGACAGATTCTTTTGGGATGGTCAATTTCTTGCAAGAAGAGTCTCTCAAATTCTTGCTTGAGAAGTACATGCTGGTCACTGGTGTTCTCAGAACTGAGAAGAGGAAATGGGCTGAGATCAATCTGCTAAGTGTATAGACTCTAAATGAATGCCCTACTACTCAGTATAGCATCCTTGGCCTCAGCTGTAGCGGGGTCTCACCTGGTCTCAGGTATCTCAGGTGTCACAGACCCTTAGGTGTGTCCTCTCTAGAGTATAGTCTTTTTCCAGGGTGGAACATGCTATATTGACTTTCAAACAATATTATTCTTTTGGCATCATGTTCTCCTATTCCTCAAAAGAACATGGTACTTCAGATTTCTAAATCTTTCAATTTCCTGCATATGAATTAGCTTGATTCTGGTTTGTCCTACTGCTGGCTTAAGCGTCAGCATTCTCTGATCTGTAAGTCACTTCTTATCCAGTTGCTTTTCATCTTCCAAAATTATGGTGCTGTTACTCTCACTCCTATTATATCTTTCTTATTTTGCCTTTAATGTAATGAGGTATTCAATATGCATGTTAAACTAAAAGTTGAGGCTTAGATTTTAATGCCTATATGAGAACATAAGACAAGACTTTGAGCACAAGAAACACTGGAATTAAAACTAAGATCCCGGGCCCTCCCTGGTGGCACAGCGGGTTAAAGCACTGCACTAAGAAACTAAAGAGCCGCTTCGGCATGAGTTCGATTCCCACCTGCCCCGGAGGTGACCACATGGCGTGGCAGACCTCTCCTGGCCCGCCCACTGCTCCCCTCAGCAGTGTGCTTAGTCGATCTGCCTGTTCTGCTTCCCGCTCTCTGTCTCTGGTGAATCCTCTCACCCTCCGCATCTCTGGCCTGTACCCCAGTTCTGTACGAATAAATAAATAAATCTTAAAAAAAAAAAACTAAGATCCCCACATACTACAAGGTTTTCAAAGGAATGTAATATGAATGAAAGCACAGACCAAGAAAAAACTTACTGGCCAACAGAGGAAAATGACAAGGAAGATTTTAATTTGCACTCTGAGCAGAAAAAAAGAACTCTCCCTTAAGAACTTACAAATAGGGACAACGCCACACGATTACATTAATAATATTAAGGAATCACCAAGCCAAGGAACCAACATAAAAATTGGCCCTGGGAATGTAATGTCTCTAGAATGCCAAGCTTTTCAGAAGCAAATGGGAAACTACTTTGATGGCACATGTTCTTAACACAGCCCTCCAAGTCATTGTGCTGAATTCCTAATTTATGTATGTATATCAGTTATTTCCACACCCCCCCCCCAAAAAAAAATGAGAGAGGGCCCTCCCTGGTGGTGAACCGGTTAAAACGCGGCTCAGCAGACCTCTCCCCTGCCTCATCTGCTGCTCCCCTCAGCAGTGTACTGCATCTGTATGCCTGTTCTGCTCCCTACTCTGTCTCTGGTGAATCCTCTCAGAGCCCCTGCACCTCTGGCCTGTACCGCAGTTCTGAATGCATAAATAAATAAATCTTTTTTTAAAAATCAGGAGTATAATGGACCAGGCGAGAAAACAATAATAATGATGAACAGCTATATACCAGAGACGTTTTACTGGGGTAGAGTGGGGGATGGGATCAAAAATGGTGGGGGTGAGGGAAGTGCACTATGGACTATGGTGATGTCACGCGGGTGATTTGGTGATGGGAAGCCCACGGGGATTACAACCGAGATGGGAAAATGCACGAAATGATGTAAAAATAAACTATTATATTAAAAAATCAGAAGAAAAAGATTCCTATAGTTAATACTAAGTGAAGATGATGTCAAAATCCACAGTTATAAAACACAAAGGTAAAAATCATTTAAAAGAGGGATAAATGCACTCACAACGGGAGATGAGTTTCCCTTAGAAATTCCTTAGATTTGTTTCTAAGTACAATAATCTAATGAACACTACTGAATCAGCATATTTTAAAATATTAAAGCAAAACCACAATAATACGATATTCTCACAAATGTAAAAATGCTTTACATCAAAGGGACTGCTAACAAAAGTTGGGGCGGGAGGAGAAAGAGAAACCCTTATATATTATTGGTGGGAGTGTAAATTGGTGCAGTCATTTTGGAAAGCATAATTTCCTTATCTAGTTTAACAATGATTTATTTCCATAAAAGTCCCTAAAATTTATTCAAAGAATTAGCCTTTGAGTTAGTTTGACAGATTCCTGTTCCTCTGCAGCACGATCTGTAATACACCTTGAAAAATGGTCGTAACTAAACTGCTTGGATTTCTTTTTCCCTGTACCAGCATTTAAACAAGGTAACGTTCTTCTTGGTAACTAAAGAATGAGGTTGATGATGGATGACAAGGTCCTAGAACCCTAGCAACAGAACGTCACTCATTCATTCTCTCAAGAGCCCTTGAGTGCCTACCCTCTGCAAAGTACTTAACCGTCTAGAACTTGTCAGGCACTGGGCTGGGACCTAGGAATAAAGATCGGGCAAGGTGGGGGGGTGTAGACAGAGCCATAACCCCCGCCGCGTCTCGCGCTGCTCCTGGTCGCCTGAGCGCGCTGTTTGCCCTCACCCTCTTCCCATGATTCTCTGGTTGTGCAGCTAAGCCCCGCCCGCCCAAGCCAGATGCTCCAGGCTCCCGCTAGCAACTGGACTACAACTCCCACAAAGCCCCGGGGGGCACCCTATAAGGACGCCACCGCCTTCCTGGCCGAGCGGACGCCGACTACAGTTCCCAGGGTGCTCTGCTCCCCCTTTTGGGTGTTATTGCCACTTCCCGGGTGCTGGACGCGGCAGCAGCGGGCAGAGAGTGCCAGGTCCGGGGTCCTCTGTGTCCTTCCCCGAGGCCAGGACGAGGCAGTGGCTGGACTTGCGGGCACCGTGCCCGGGAGGGAGCGCAGGAGGCCGCCGTCTCTGCCGTTCGGTGCGTTGCGCCCTACTCTCCCGTCTCGGTTCCCCGCGGCCGCCTGGACGGCCCTGGACCTACTGCCCGGGGCGCGGGCGGCGGTCGCGGCAGCCGGGACTGTGGCGAGGCCGCGGCCCTAGGGCGGCGGTAGCGGCGTCAGCTCTGGGGAGGACGAGGAGGGAAGATGGCGTCGGAGCTGGAGCCCGAGGTGCAGGCCATCGACCGGAGTTTGCTGGAATGTTCGGCTGAGGACACGGCAGGGGTGAGTGCCGGGACCCGCGGGACGTCCGGCCCTTGCAGGCTGCGCGGGTGGGGAGGAACCGACTCTTGGAAATCCCGGAGCAGCCCACCCTGACTTGGGGTGACGACCGCGCCGGGCGCTGTGCACTCGCTTAGTGGGTAATGGCCCTTGGAGGCCACGGAAGCAGGCCCACTCTTTATGCCCAAGTAGCCCCCCGAGATGCGATGGGCATCAGCCACCTTTATATCCCCTTTTTACTCAGGAATCCCACTGCCACCAAGTTCCCAAAACAAGGACCTTTGTACTTTATGTCAGTAATTGAAAGAGGAAAGGGGAAAAAACGCTTCCTAGTTTTGGGGTGCAGTCGCCCTACTGTATCGTACTAGTTTCTTTTTTGAGATGAGCAGAGCAGTTTTCTCTTCTACCGAAATGTGCCACCTTAACCAAGTCCCTGCTTTGTTTCTGGGACTCCCCTAGGCACCAAGGATGCAAACGTTTAACACTATTTTTCCTCTTTCTAAACCCCTTCAAATGCATTTTTACACCGGTTTGGTCAGTTGACAAGTAGTGTCACGACTCGTTTGCTGTGTGTGTGTGGTAGTGGAGGCTGGGAGAATGAAGAACTAATTTTTGTAGGAGTTGGAAACAGTTAAAAGGTGAACAAATGTTATATAATTTTAATAGAACAGTTTTCAGCAAATGAAAGCTAATCATAGGAGATTTGGTCACTGCATAGTGGGTCATGTAATGCCCCAAACTTTAAGCCATCCAAACATGGTACTATACCGAATATGCTCCTCTAAGTAGCAGAGTTGTGAAATGATTAATAAACTCCATGGCATCTTTGCCCAAGGAGGACGTGAATGGCCATTAGAGCAAGTTTAGAATGATTATTAGTGGACCAAAACTATTTAAAACCTCCCCTCTATGGCTCCCAGTTTTAAAAGCCACTAAGAAAGGAGTGACCTTTGAACACAATAATCCAGTGCTGCAAACAAAATTTGGGGAGGGGGTCACCATGGGATAGTTGGTAAGGTGAGGAGTCATTTGAGTTGAGGACACTGAAGTCAAGACTGCAAGTGGAAAAATGGTGAGGGTGTGGGGTTTTTAAAGTTACTTGTTTAGGTTAGGTCTGTTTTCATTTACTTTCTGCTTAATATTGCAACAACCCAAGAACTTTCAGTCCCCATCTGTCTTTCATTTATTAAAAATATTTGGAAAAGAAAGCAAAAGACATGTACAGTAACAACAGTAAAATTATCATGACAGCTGTCCACTATCCATGTCATCAGTATCTATATTGATCTATCCATGTCATCAGTATCTGTATTGATATCAAAAGCCCATGGCCTTTGGTTTATTCCCATTGAGTTCCGTGTCTGTTGGCCCAGTGATAACAGGTTACTCTTAAAACTTTTCTATGAGTGCAGACTATCAGGTAATAAGAGCTGCTTCACCCTGTTGCTGGAAGACCAACTGGTTCTTTTGTGGTAAAATTCTCAGACAGATACAGTGGGAAAATTAGGGAAATGAAGTCAAGATACACCAATTTGTATTTAATGTGGGTTTGTAGAAATCACAGTCTGAGTTATATTTTAATTTGGCTCTTTTTACTTTGAAGTGGTTTTGGAACAATAAGATGAGTAAAATATTTAGTCTGAAAGCCAACAAAATTCCTTAAGGAAGATGCAAACTAATTGTAAAATATAAGCAACATCTGGCTGTATAACCTGGTATCACTTGATGAGTGAGGTGTTATTTGTCTTTAGTTAAAAAGATCATGACTCTTAAAACTACTCTTTCAGCTTAGTCTATCACTGTTATTGTTACAAACTGAATTGAATTAGTAGAGTTTTGTCAAGCTGAAAGTAGATTTCAGAGAGAGTCAAAAAGTATAGAGTTGTTATTGCAGTGCTTGGATCTGTGTCACTGGTAATCTGTTGGGATCACATCCATTTAGAATTAATAAGCACTAGTGTCATCTTCCCACACTTTTATTTACACACTGCTTTTCTTATTTCTATTAGGAGGAGGAAGGACTTTCTGTGAGCCCATCTATCCTAAGTAGTATGCCTCACAAATAAAAGCATTTAAGCTGATTCTTCAATAATAGTAAGTTTAGGATATTAAAGTAGCCATTTTTTTCTCCTTTCTTTCCTTTCCTTGGTAGAATTGATTGCACAAATATGACTTGCCTACTGTTTATTGGGTCTGTACATTTTATGCTCCATTGATATGAGTGTGATATGTTCCAACAGATGATTCTAATTTAAGAAGTACATATATTGTTTCTCAAGTACAAAAAAACACATACTCATTTAAAAAGTTTTATGTGGAGTTTTATATCTCCTATTTTTTACGTTAAAGTTTCATATACAATTTGTGTATTTATAACTTATACCATTAAATTCAGTAGTTTTTGGTATATTCAGAGTTATACAGCCATCACCACATCTAATTTAGAATATTCTTATCACCTACCAGTCTCTAGTCTTTAGCAGCCTCTCTCCATTTTCCCCTAATCTCTTGAACTTTAGACAACTACTGGTTTATGTTTTTATCTCCATACATTTTGCCTGTTCTAAAAATTAATGGGATCATGCAGTATGTTCCTTTGTGACTGGCTTTTTCACTTAGCATCATATTTTCAAGGTTTACCTATGTTGCAGCACGCATCATGCATCATTTTTACTGCCAAATGATATTTACTGTATGGGTAATACTATATTTTATTTATCCGTCATTTATGGTCCTTTGAACTGTCTCCACTTCCTGAGATATTTTGAGTTGTGTTCTGTGAACATTCAGGTACCTTTTTTGTGGGGACATGTTTTCATTTCCCTTGGTCATTTAGGTATATCCAGAAGTGGAATTGCTGGGTCACGTGGCAGTTCTGTGTGTAGCATTTCGGGAACTGCTAAGCTGTCTTCCATTTGACTGCTTCATTTTATGTGGGAAAGAGAAGTGTATGAGAGGGTTCCAGTGGCTTTCTGCATATTCTTGCCAGTACTTAATTATTATAACTATTCTGGCTATTCTGTTGGATGTGAAGTGGTATCTCATTGTAGTTTTCACTTTTTTTCCCTTTTGATGAACTTATTGACGATATATTTTCCTCTGGAAGGGTCAATTCAGATCTTTTGCCCATTTTTATTAAAAAAAAATTTTTTTTATGCATACAAGAACTGGGGTGTAGACCAAAAATGAAGGGGGGTGAGAGGATTCACCAGAGACAGTGGGGAGCAGAACAGGCAGGTAGACTGAAATACACCTCTGCTGGAAGCTGCGGGGCAACACAGGAGAGGTCTGCTGTGCCATGTGGGTCAGCTCCCCTGCGTGCTGGGGATGGAATCATGCTGCAGTGGCTGTGGGTAGCTTGTGTAGTTGTGATAGCTTGGGAAGCTTGATAGTGCTGTCTTTAACCCCTGAGCCACCAGGGGTCCCTTTTTGCCTATTTAATTTTTTTTTTCTTTTTTTACGTCATTCTTGTACATTTTTTTATCTCGGTTGTAATCCTGGTGGCCCTTTTGCCTATTTTTGTATTAGATATTTGGTCTTATATTGGTGAGTTTTTTTTTTAATGTTATTTTAATTTGTGAATGATTTTACTTCATTTCTAAAACTCTTACTATGACTTGTTTAAAACTTTGCTTACTATAGTCCTGACTATTTCAGCAGTAGTGATTATTGTTAACATAAATATGTGTGTTAGTTATCACTGCTTGACAGTAAAATCAGATATAAAGGATACAACTTAATTGGATATAGAATAATCATTGGCTACTATAATAAAAGGCTAACCTAAGGATTTTTTCATTCTTGTGTTAATTGTATTTGCTCTCTATCCCATTGCTTAAACTTATCATTCAGAAAAGGGAATGCTCCTAGAGAAGTGTCATAACATGTTTACTTTGGTGGAATGAGTTGACAGTCTTTACTTCCCCTTATCAGTAACTTTTAATATAAAGTGTTTATTTCTTTCTAGTGCACGTTGATGTGACAGCCTCGAGAGTCTGAAATGACAAATTAGCATGCAGCCAAAGTAGAAATCTTAATAATTTTTCATATTGAATAAACAGTTTGTGAAAACTGTTATGAAAAGCTATAGATTTTGTTCTTTTCAGAAATAGGTGAGCCATTATTCTGAAAGACAAACAGAAATTTTTCTACCAGTTTACTTTCTCATCACAGTTTAAATAAAAAAATCTATACTATTCTGTGCTGGTCATTCAGTATCACTATTCTAAAATTCTCATGTAAAGGTACTTTGCTTGTATGTTAAGTGTTTCGGTTTAGTGATATAAAAGTGATGTAATAGGTCCCAAATATGTTAGGTGGTTTTGAATTTGGAGCATATACCTGCTTTTCTTTTATGAAACAGATTACTTTGTTTTGTCAATAATTTGCAATACAATAATACTTAGAGTGAAATGCTAGTTTTGCTGAAAATAATTTTTTACAAGGTGCTGATTATATTTTCTTAACCACTAACACACACTAAAGGACTACATTACTGTGTGTCCATTATGCTTCAATTTTAAAAATGTAAAAATTAAAAGAAAAAAATCTGGGTGGATATAACTGGTCAGTGTTGTTGGAGCCACAAGACAAGTAATTCCCCTTAGAAAGCCTCTCCTTTTATTCTCTTTGGATTAAAATACTGTGGAAGTGAGTTTTAGAAGAAATGAGAATGTTAAAAAAACAAGTCAAAAATTGCTTTTGAAAAACAAAACCTTTAAATGTACTATAAATTAAAATTGCCAAAAGCCTAGCTTCAGAGTCATGGATGTTAATTCTTTGAGTGTTAATGTTTAACTTTTCATTCATATAGAGTAAGATAATTTGACTCCTTACATATTTTGAAATAGGGCTTTGCTGGCAGTGACTGAAAAATTGGACATTTATCCTTGGATATCCAGACCAAAAAAGTGTTTTTTGCCTCAATGAATTAGATTGTAAGTCAGGTGCTTGGTGGTGAGGACTTTTTGCCATCTTGCATTAGCTACTTTTTTGCTCCTCTTTTCTATAATTACTGAACTATTTGTAATTGACTAGAAAGCTATTGTATACAACATCAAGAATATTTAAAAATCTATATTTCTAGAGAGGGAAATGTGTTGAAGATTGTACAAGTAATCGTTAAAACCAGACATTGTTGTATTATGGTGTTAGACATCATTTATACATCAGCTCTTTTTTTCATTAAGGATGTGATTTGGGAGTTAGGTTTTGATCCATAGGTAAACATTCTAGTTGTGAGTTAACATTAAACTACATTTTTGTACAAATGAGTCTTTTTATTTCATGTTTTCTGAATTCAAATTTTACTTGTTTTTAAAACCAAAATGAGTTGTAACTACATGAAACCATAGAGAAGGTAAATAAAACAAATGAAATTGGCAGGGGAGGTAGGGATGAAGACTTAGGTACTGGAAAAGAAAGGCAGTTTGAAGGATGCTTTACCTAGGGCTGATTTGGTTTGGTTTTAGAGACTGCAGCTCTGAATCTTCTTTATCTCTGCTTTCATTAAAGCCACATGGAACCTCTTTCTGCAAGTATCAGTGTACATGACAGTAAGTAGTGTAAATGTATTTATAATAATTCAGTTAACACCTTTTCCTAACTAGCCACTGAGGCCAGGTTCTGTTTTAGACCGGAGAAAGTGAGGATGGGAGAGGGGGTAAGGAATGAGCTGAGCTGAGAAGGCATCCTAGAGACAGGAAAACTTACACTGACATCTGAAGAGTGAGTAGTAAACTACCTTGTAAAACAGAGAAGGGAGCGGTCCTAGGCAATAGAGACTGACGAATATGATGCTACGTAAAGGACCTTGTAGAAATTACCAGGGCACTTGACTTGGTCCTCAATATGAGAATAAGTACAGTGACATCAGATGGTGTTTTGCAAGAATCACTCTGGTAGTGAGACTGGAAAATGGTCTATAGAGGAGCAAGACTAGTCGGAATCTCCAGCTAGGACATATTAATCCCAGTGAAAGATGGAGGCTTGGCGTGGGACAGGGGTAATGCAGGTAGTTAGTGCCTGTGGAGATAGAGAGAAAGAACTGTATAGAAGATTCAAATGCAATTTTGGAAGCCTAGTGGACAGGTTGTGTGATGATTGGATATTGGGGTGAGGAAGGTAGATTTTCAGGTTTTTTTGGATTGGATACTTGGGTAGATGCCTCTGTCTAAATAGAGAAATGAGGAAAATGGCAGAGGATGGGGAGGGGGGGGAAGGTGCGGAATTCCAAGTTCAAATTTGGACATAGTTGGTGTCTAAAAGTAAAAACTATATTTTTTACATTTACACTAATATTTCCAGCCTCCACATATGTTTGAGGCTTTCCCACACCAAGCAATTCTTTTTTTTTTTTTTTTTTTTGTGCATACAGAACTGGGGTACAGGCTAGAGGCTCAGGGGCGGTGAGAGGCTTCACCAGAGACAGAATGGGGAGCAGAACAGGCAGATCAACGAAGGACACTGCTGAGGGGAGCAGCAGGCGGGTCAGGAGCGGTCTAATCAAACTCATGTGGAAGTCGCTTTAGCTTCTCAGTGCTGTGCTTTAACCTGCGGTGCCACCAGGGAGGGCCCAAGCAATTCTTGATTCTCTGCAGACACCATTGGTTGGCATGCAATTCAGTTCACTGTTGACACTTTCCACCTGGAGGTAGCATCAGATTTCACAAGAGCACAGTTCCACAAGACTACCTTCTCTCCACCTCCAAGCCCCAGTCACAGTCAGTGGATCCTGAGGTTATCCACAACTCGGTCTGACACCTGGAGATCAAAGGTTCCTGAGAAGTGCTCTTTGGGTTCAGTAAGTTGCTAGAATGTGTCACTACTCAAGGGGTCAGTTTTACTAGATTGCTAGTTCATTATAAAATGATACAGGAAGTGAGCAGCACACGATGAAGTATGAGGGAAGGGGTACATAGCTTCCTTGTTGTCTCCATGCATGCCAGCACCTCTGGGTATTCACCACCCCAGGAGCTCTCTGAACTGCCATTTGGGGATGTTTGTGGAAGCTTTGTTAAACAAACATGATTAAATAAAACATTGGCACTTGGTTACTGGCTTAAATTCAGCCTCCTCTCCTGGCTGGGAATTTGGGGGCGTAGGCTGGAAATTCTAATCCTCTGATCATTTGGTTCTCTTGGCAACCAACTCTCCATTCCTGTTTCCTAAAGTGACCTCATTAACTTAAAGCCTTATTTGTTTGCGAGGACTTGCTAGGAATAACAAAAGACACTCCTTTCTCTTATCACTTTGGAAAAGTCAAGAGTTTTAGGAGCTCTGTGCCAGGAATAGGAAGGAGACCAAATATGTATTTCTTTTTATAAATCAAATGTATGTATTAGATTTCTAAGTGTAATTATCACCACGTAGTTGGGTTTAAAGATTTGGGAGCTAAGAAAAATGGCTTTTGGAAGTTTGTTTTTATCAGGGAAAACAAAAGGGAAAGAACTTACAGAGAGGTTCGTCAGGAAAGGAGTTAGTTGGTAGAAGAGCCACTTGTCAAGTGGTATACTCATTAGAGACAGTGTATCTCATTTATTAATCAGTGAGAAATATTACTAGTGCCTTGGCTGTTGATGTTCACTGCATGCTCTTCCAATAGACAACCAGACTAGAGACTCCAAATCTTAGAATTTCATTTGAGCAAATGACTAGAAGGGTATTTAGAGGAATTCAAAGGCTAGTATCTCTTAAGAGCACTTAACTGTGATCACTCTCCTGTTCTGCCAGCAGAAGGCTGTTTCAAGAATCATTTTGAGGAGGGTGGCTTTAATTAAGTGTAATTTTAAAATAATTTTAAATTAAAATAGGTTTTTTTTGTCAAATAAGGTTCTTTTTAATAAAGTTCTTAATGAATTTTGCCCTTTTTGGAAAGAAGACACTATCATTAATGAGGAATGTCAACAAATTAACTTATAAGACTTGTCATTATTGTTTTACCTGTAAGAAAGTAGGGAGATTTATTCAAATTAGCAGATTACTGACAATGTCTAAAGTTATTTTTCCTTTTTCCTTTTTTTTAAAGAAATGGCTGCAAGCGACTGACCTCACTAGAGAAGTGTACCGGCATTTAGCCCACTATGTACCCAAAATCTACTGCAGGGGTCCCAACCCTTTTCCACAGAAAGAAGACATGCTGGCCCAGCATGTTTTGCTGGGACCAATGGAATGGTACCTTTGTGGTGAAGATCCTGCATTTGGGTTTCCAAAACTTGAACAAGCCAACAAACCTTCTCATCTTTGCGGTCGTGTTTTTAAAGTAGGAGAGCCTACATATTCTTGCAGGTAAAGTATATTTTCTTTCTAATAGACTTTTTGCTTAACATTTTCCCCAGAAACCTTAAATTTCTATTTAAAATTGTGATGTGCAATCGATATATACACATAATCAATACAATAAATATTTATGAAACAAATATTCATGTAATTATTTTTCAGGTAAAATACACAACACCAGAATTTTAGAAACCTGACTCTTATAATGCTTCCTTAATTTTCTAGGTTGTTTTTTTTTAGTAATAGTGATTCCTTTTGATTTTATTCCAAATTTAACCAGTGTTGCTTTGTCATTTTCACCTGTATCCTTTAGTTTTTGAGGTTTTCTTTCTGGCACTTTGGACTTAACCTGATCTGTAAGTAAAATCAGCCATTGTGCAAGGAGTTGCCTTTTATTTGAAAATGATAGTTAGAAACCATGGTCTGTGTGCTACATTTACTTTATATTGCTAGAAGGGCTTTCCTTTTATTTACCTAAAATATTGACCATACAAGGGTAGAAGAATTTTTTGACTGTTCTATTTCTCACAACTAATCTTTTGTTTTATTTTTTATGTATCTTCTCCAAAATTTTTTGTATATGTGCAAACCCATATTAAGTGGCTATCTTAAACATACAAATATGTTACAGATACTAGGTCAAGTTTTCCTTTATTTAACAAAATCAGCCTCTGTCTATACTAGCTGATGTAGCTAGATAATGTACGTTGTGTGGATATACTATTAATAGAGGGATTAACTCTTTTTCTTAAGATTTTTTCCTGTAAGACAAATTTAATAACTTTAATTTTGGTTAAGGCATGAGAGTCTATAATAGTCTATCATCCTGATTAGAATACCAATAAGAGACCTTTTTGTGTATTAAAAACTACTAAATCTAATTTTTTGTCTGTTTTTACAAAAGCCTCTTTGAGTCCTCTGTTTATTGATATTTAGAGTAGTAGATCTGATCTTATCTCATAATTTACAGACAAGGAAATTGCACTGTGATTGTTCCAGTAATGTTTTGTAGCAAAACATTTTGTGTGTCATATATTTTGATCTATAGTCTGGAACATTTTACAGTATTATGATCTTGACACTTCTGGAGATTACAGACCAGTTATTCTGTAAATGTCTTATCAATATGGGTTTGTCTGAGGTACTTTATGATTCAAATCAAGTTGCATCTTTCACAGAAATCACTTGTTCTTTTTAAGAAATCATTTGTTCCCTTTAAGATGCATGTGATTTTGATTTTGATGTTAACTTTGATTGCTTGATTAAAGGCGTGGACATGTCTTCACGACTTCTTCACTGTAGAGTTAGTTAACAATAATATTTAACAATAAATATTTTTGTGAGGAAGTACTTTGAGACTTTTAATATCTTATTTCTTATCAATCGTTAAATTTATTCATTTTGTTCACTGCTGAGGGGAGCAGCGGGCAGGTCAGGAGAGGTCTGCCACGCCATGTGGATCTCCTCCAGGGCAGGTGGGGATCAAACTCATACGGAAGTGGCTTAAGCTTCTTAGTGCTGTGCTTTAACCCGCTGCGCCACCAGGGAGGGCCCTAGCACCTCCATTTTCTTTCTGATACAAGATATTTGAGGCAAACTTGGATTTTTCTTTGACTTAGTAAAATCAAACATTTCCCCCAAGGAACCTGATTTGGTTTTAGTAGAGATTGGTGTTTTGAAATAAAATACTAGGTGTGCTTGTTGCAGTTGATAAGTCACCAATCCCAGGCCCTCTCAGCATATTTACATTCTAATCTATTTTAGATGTATGCTTTAGTAGATACTGAAAACCATCCTCTTACAAAGCTCTTGAGTTCCCATCCAGTTCCAGTCCCACAGCATTCTTTTGTACATTTGTTCTCCATTCTCTGATGGGAACCTGATCTCACAGTTTATTTGGTCTTACCAACCATTCTTTTGATGCTGCTACTCTGCCACCCAACTCTGCATAGTTGCCCTCTTTAACTCCATACCCCATGCCATTCATGCTGCTCCCCCCACCTCTTGTTAGGGCAGATCTTTAGAGCTTTGCTTTCAGATGCACAGACCTTAATCTAGGTCTTGGCCATTCTGATGTCTCAGCTGGATGCCTGACCTGGCTAGAACTCCTGAGTCCTCTTGTGTTGCTTCTGCGCTTCAGGTATCTTTGCTGCACACTCAATTCCAAGGCAGCCACCCCCCAGGAAGCTTGGAGCCTATGCCCCTGTGGATGGATATGTGACTCAAGATTCAGTCAGGGACTCACTCCGTATACTTTGACTTATGCCGCTTCTCAGTCCCTTGCCATCTTCCACCTCTTCAGTGCCCTGGCTCATGCCTTCTAGCTGTCTTACCATCCCAATCACTCTTCTCATTTCTTTTCAGGCTAGTTCAGTGAGACCTTTGCTCTCATTAGACATTACCTTGCTGAGAGTCAGGGCTGTTGTGGGGCTTTGAATTTTACTTCTGTTAGCTTTTACAGTCTTGTGCTGCCTGCTGTTCACTGCTGGAGATAGTTGCCTCATGTATTCATGTAGTGTACAGTGGGAGGTAGTTTAGTACCAGTTATTCTGTTATAATTAAAAGTCCCAAAACTTTATTTATTAAAAGATATATTTATTTATACATACATACAAAAGCTGGGGTGTGTGCCAGAAGTTTGGGGGCCAGAATGAGAAGACTCACCAAAGACAGAGTAGGAGCAGAACAGATCGACTGAAATACGCTGCTGAGGGGAGCAGTAAGTGGGACATGAGAGGTCTGCTGTGCCATGTGGGTCAGCTCCCTGGCAGAGACTGGGGATCAAACTCATGCTGCAGTGGCAGCGAATAGCTTCGTAGTGCTGAGCTTTAACCCCTTGTACCACCAGGGAGCACCAAAATTTATTTTAACCAATGAAAGTGGCATGTATTTGCAGAGTACTTTCTAGGTACCATAATTAATGTTAACATATAATATGTTTTGTGTGTGTGTGTGTGTGTATCTTTGTGCATATATGCGAACACACACAAATATAAAATCATGCTTCTGTAAATGTCTGAGATAATATCCTTGAGGAAACAGGCTCAGAATTGCCAAATGAATTACCTTCAGTCATAAAAATTAAAACTAAGGCTCTTAGACTCTAAAGTCTATGGTCTTTTCATTATGCCTTTGTTCAAATGTGAGTCTCATGAATTTTTCACTGATGATCAAAACATACTGATTTGTTCTTGCAGTTAAATTTATTCAGTTCTTAAATATGGAGTGATATTCTTTATTGTAAAAATATTAGTACTGAAATGAAGGCAGTGAATTTAGTTTTAATTGGTCCCTGAAATTTAGAAATGTAGGAACTACAGATAGTAGTTCCATATAGGTACCACTCTGAACCCTAAGCAGAAAATCAAGTTGCATTGCAGTGCTGTCTTCTGTACCACACAATCCATATTAAACGAAAAGAAAGTCTGGGCTGATCAAAATACTATTGGTGACTTAGAATTGTGGATGTGGACTGAGTCATCTTCATTTATCTCCAGTTACGTTCACCTATAACGTTCTCCTTTATAATTATAGATGCTTCACACATGGGGCCTCATATATAAAGTACTCAGCAAATATTTGTTGAACAAACATCAATTATACTGTCCAAAGTACAGAGGACAATTTTAAAGATAGTATTTTGCTGTTCCCTACTTCAGTTGAACTGCTTGAGCGTTTCCACCTTCTTTGTTGGCAGAAACTCTGTATAATATTTACTTGTAAACTTTATAGCATGTTATTCATGATTATATGCAAGGGACCTGTCCCATTCTCCATTATATAGCTTCAAATGTTTGCTTTTATACCCAGCTAGTTAATACAGGGTAGCTGGTGCTGTGAGGACAGAGGACGTTTATCTGCACTTTAAATTTACTGCTATTTCATTTAATGTTTTAACCTTAGGTACAGTCTAGTCAGAAATTCTGTTGTTCCAAAATTTGTATTTGTGATACTATACTAGAGAAGAGGTTCGGTGCAGGTTCGAATGCTTTCAAGAAGGCCTTGATTAAATTGGCAAAGTCCTGGATTTTCTTTCTTAGAAGAAGAGGTAGTTAAAAGAATCTTGTTTTCAAAGGAACTCTCCTGCCCTGCTGGTGGGAATGCAAACTAGTACAACCACTATGGAAAACTGTTTGGAGGTTCCTCAAACTGCTAAACATGGAGCTTCCCTACGACCCAGCAATCCCACTCCTAGGTATCTACCCAAAAGACACAAAAACACTGATTCAAAAAGATACCTGCACCCCCATGTTTATTGCTGCTTTATTTACAATTGGAAAAACATGGAGCAGCCCAAATGCCCAAAAGTAGATGACTGGATTAAAAAGATGTGGTACATATATACAATGGAATATTACTCAGCAACCAAAAAAGAGAAACACGTGTATTTTGCAGCAACTTGGATGGAGCTGGAAAAGATCATGCTTAGTGAGATAAGCCAGAAAGAGAAAGAAAAATACTAGATGGTTTTGCTCATAGCAGGAGTATAATGGACCAGGCGAGAAAATAACAAGAATAATGAACAACCATATACCAGAGACATTTTGTGGGGGTGGAGTGGGGAATGGGATCAAAAACGGGATGGGGGAGGGAAATGCACGGGATTATGGTGATGGCACACGGGTGACTCGGTGATGGGAAACCCACAGGGATTACAATTGAGATGGGAAAAAAATGTACAAAATGATGTAAAAATAAACTTTTGTAATAAAAAATATAGAATAGTTTATTTTTACATCATTTTGTACATTTTATTTTCATCTCAGTTGTAATCCCCGTGGGTTTCCCATCACCGAGTCACCCGTGTGCCATCACCATAGTCCTGTGCAATTCCCTCCCCCCTCCCAACCCCAGTTTTTGATCCCATTCCCCACTCCACCCCCACAAAATGTCTCTGGTATATGACTGTTTTTGTGTCTTTTGGGTAGATACCTAAGAGTGGGATTGCTGGGTCGTAGGGAAGCTCCATGTTTAGCAGTTTGAGGAACCTCCAAACAGTTTTCCATAGT